CGGCGAGGGGGTCAGCGGCGCTTTTATCGCCGTTAAGGCGGGAGCGTTGCTGAGGGCTGAGCAACCGGGAACGGCGTGCGGGGGCGGGCCGGGGCGAGCCGGGCTCCCTCGGGCGGGGAGGGCGCCTTCGTGATGACTTGTGTCGGCTGTCGCCCAGTTCACAGGCTCTGCCTTCGGGTCCGCCGCCATCTGGCAGTACGAGTCCCTCAAGTCGCGGGTCCAGACCTATTTCGAGGGAGCCCGAGCGGACTGGCTGGATAAAATACGGCCGCAGAAGAGAGGGGACTTCAGAAAGCAGGTACAGGGGAGCCGGGCGCACCTGCCCCCGCGTGCGGGGGTCCCCACGGGAGCGTCAAACGTCACCGCCGCGTTCGCCCCATGCACCGTTTGTGCAATGGACGCTAATCCTGGTCATCCTGATTTCTGACTTGAAGAAATAATAGAATCATAGAATTGTCTAGGTTGGAAGAGACCCTTGGGATCATAGAGTCCAGCCATCTACCCTACTCTACAAAGTTCTCCCCTACGCCATATCCCCCAACACCACATCTAAAGAGCTCTTATAAATAACACATGGGTTCGCAGCACGTTACGTTAGATGCGTTTCCTTATGAGGAAAACAACCCTATAGAATTCATTCTAGAAAACTGTAAGTCCCAATGTCACTGCAAAAGCTACACTGGAGAGAAATAGCATCTTCACCCTGAAGTGCAGGGAAGAGAGGTCGGTAGTACTGGTTTGTATATCCAAACTAGGTACCTTTTGATTTTTGACTGTAAAAAAATTCCATTTTTGCCATGTCTAAATGTTCTCAAAAGTGAACATGAACTCCCAAAGAGGACAGAGCTAGTTTAAATTCTGAACCTTGCATGATGTTTTCTAACGCTCTGGCTTCTGAAATGCATTTGTATTTTCAACCTGTACTTTTAATGAATATGAGGGTTTAGGGGGCTTTTTTCTTTCTGGCAGCTGACATTTCCACGCAAACACTTTGGAGTTTGGGCAGTAAGAGCAACGCAAGTACTGCAAGACTTGCTGTAAATTTAGTTGTCAGCCCGAGCGTATCAGTCATTTATTTTTCAGTTTAAATGTATTTAAAACTAGACTGAACATGCATGTATGTTTTACTTTTGTTTCAAGGTTACTGCCCTGGCTTCTGATGGACCAGGCTTGATTACTCTTTCAGGTCTGCTTGTCCAAGGGAAGTGGTACTTCTTTTGAAATGGGCACGTGTTGTGGGTTAACCCTGGTGGGCAGCTAAGGGCCACACAGCCGCTTGCTCACTTCCCCCACAAGCCCCCACTGGGGTGGGGGAAGAGGAAAGGAAGAATAAAAGCAAGAAAACTTGGGGGTAAAGATAAAACGACAACCAAAAAATTGCGAAGTAAGTGAAGGCTAAGAGAGAGAAGAGAAGACAATGTTAAAAGAAGTGATGCAAAGGCATCACTCATGGTCTCGTGAGCAGACCAGTGCCCAGCCAGTTCGTGAGCAAAAGATGGCTGAACCTCCTAAAATCCCTTCTTCCCTGAGCATGACATTATATGATAGGAATATACCTTTGGTTCGTTCCAGTCATCTGCCTGCTTGTGTCCCCTCCCAGCCTATTGCGCACCCCCAATCTATTCATTGCAGCGCGCGGAGTAAGAAATGGAAAAGGTCTTGATGCTGTGCAAATGCTGTTCAGCAAAACCTAGAACATTAGTGTGTTATCAGTACTGTTCTGGTCAAAAATCTAAAACACAGCACCATGTATGAGCTGCTCTAAAGAAAATTAACTCTGTCCTATCCAGGCCCATGCTTTCTTGCTAGGTGCATATGAACTGCAGGTGACGTTATGATTGCCACTTAATATGTTAAGTAATTTTGGTTTTATACTTTTATTTTCCTTCAAAACCTGAAGGGGGATATCTGGTGATTAGCTATCCAAAAAATAAAACAAAACTGCCCTGTTGTTAATAGGCTGAAACTCCCAATCCCTGTCTTCAACTGGTAAGTTCTCTTTTTAAAAGTTCAGGGTCCCCCAGTAGCTTCTGAGGGCATCTACTGCTTGCATTTTAGAAAAGTCATGTTTGGTTAGTGTTCTTATACTGGGGAACTTTGTAGGCAATACCGTTACCCATATCCTGTGCCAGAGAATTAAACAAAAAAAATGCAATAAATTTGTTACTTTGGTATCAAATAGCGAATGATTTGTTTCATACAGCATTATTTCCTGCTGCCTCCAACCTACAGATAATTTGTATGATATTGTCCCCATCAGTGGGGCTGGAGGGTCATTGAGCTATCAATAAAATATTTGTCCAAAATGATTTTGAAAGCTGAGGAAGGGAGAGGGGGTTGGAATTTGTCTGTGGGCTTACCAGGCTCAAAATAAACTTTTTCAGGGGTTTTAAACTTGGAGGAGGGCTGGGTGAGCTGGACGCAAGGGGGAATGGATTCCACATCTTGTGAGCCACCTCCGCAAAAGTGACCCTGGCACAAAAGTGGAATCTCTCACAGGTGGGTGGTGTGATGTTAGACAGCGCTAGGGTGAGGCTTAGTGGAGGCAGGGTTTATGCTAACTTTGGCTAATCCGCTAAAGAAAGCATTATGGGCTGGCTCCTTCTTTAGTACAAGCAGAGTTAAACCCATGGAGTCGTTTAAAAGGATAACCCCATTCTTTTTGAAGAAACTCTTCATCTATGTTGGGATATTTTATGAAAAGGAGGGTAAATAACTACTCTTGAGTAAGGAAACGCCAACTTGAAAAGCTAAACCAATCGGAAATAAAAAAGTTTGAAACAGATTTACTTAGCAGATTTCAAGCAAATGCTTTCCATTCTTAAAAAGGTAGAACGTTGCGTGGCTGGTGTTGAAATTGCAAATACTCTACAAGTGGCACTGATGTACAACAATTCCGTTTCAGGTTAACAGCTGGTGGAATAACCTGACTGAGGGTCAGCGGACTGTGACAGGTTTGTGTTAGCTTACAAGTATTAGACATTCACAGGAAGAGAAATATGGCAAACAGGTACAGTATGTTAAAACAGATGGCTTTCGTACCACATTTAGGTTGTTAGGCACAAAGCATGTGTAAACTCACACCTGCACATACACTATTTCTGCTACACTTCCTTCTCACAAACTAGTTTTTGTATGCATTAAAAAAAAAAAACACATATGCATCTGTGTGAGAGAGTGTGGAGGATTAGCTAGAATCTTCCCCTGGCAACATTTTTCTTAGGAACTGTGAAAAACAGCAAATGCTTTTAGAAGGAACATGAGTATATATTCCACTGAAATAAAACTCACTGATAATTTTTTGCTATTTTAAATACATAGCGTTGCAAACAAGAAGCTTGTGAGCTTTCCCTTGGTTATGATATAGTTTTGGTTGGTTGGTTAGCCTAACGTCACCTTGAAACCCCCAAGATTAATGTAATATGTGGAGAGAAATTGATGGGAACTTGATTTGAACCTAAGTAAGGTAGCTAAGCCATATCTGCCTTTATGTATTCTACGTGCTAACAAGTCCTGTTAAGAAGTTTTGTACAATGCTTTGCGTTGCTCTTCAACATGCAAGCCAAGTCATGATACAGATACAAATACTGTATTGGGGCAGGGGGTGTGAGGATTCATATTCTGTATTCTTTAGAGGATCCTTCAACATGGAGTTAATCTCAAAAGCAATATCAGTTCTAGCCGGTAGACCCTGAGCCATTCGGATACTCACCCCTGATTGCTGTAACAAGGTTGGGGTTACTGTGCTGAAATTGCTGAGAGTTCTGTAACGTCTTGGCGTAGCGCGCAGGGAAAATATTTCCTCTAATAAAAGAGCATGGTAGAATAGGATGGAGTGCCAAAAGAAGAAATCTGTTAATGTTTTGGTTCTGGGATTTATGTATTGTCGTTTTTCACAGTTCTTACATTTTGTTGCAAACTTCAAATAGAGAATAATTATGTGACATTTACCATTCTGTAAAGGAAGCACAATTACTTTCCCCTTTACTGTCTCTAGCTATTCTAAAACATTTTAAATACCTAAATGCTTGGATAGAAATAGAGAAGGCACTTTAAACAAGAAACAATAACTTTGCATCATCATGTTTCTAATTATTTACGTTCTTATTTAAACTGAAATAAGATTGCAGTAAACTGAAGTGATTTTTTTTTTTTTCTCTGTGAAGTAAAAAGCTGTGCGTTTGCTGTCTCCCAAAGGTAACTGTGCCTTAGCAATGCCAACTCAAATTTTTGTGCTCCATCTCTAAACACTGTCTTTACAATTACCTCAAAACCAAACCTCCCCAGAAACTGGAAGGGATGTGTACTGTGTGTCTGCATGCTTCCCTTTGCCTCCGCACGCAGTTAAATGCAACTGTGCAGCAGATTGGTGGCATTTGGGATTAAGCAGCTCAAAAGGCAAGAAATGAGACCTCTTAAGCTGGCTTTTGTTTCATTGGTTCTACGGTGGAATAGAAATTTGAAACCAGAGCTTGGACGTCTTAAGTACAGATTTTCTGGAATGTTGCATTCATTCATTACATCGTACATTAAAACAATTCCAATTAAATGTCATATTTCTGGAAGGCTTCCACTATATAAATGCAGCTTTCAGTATTTTTCTTTGCTTTTTCTGAACTCTTCGTAAAGTAAGAAGTGGATACTGCTTTTAATGAAATAGTGAAGAAAAAGTAGAATTCCTGTAAGCTCACTTTTGAATGCTTGTTTACAGTAAGCATTATGGCCTGTTACATTCATAACTTGCTTCTGTACTGTTTTTTCCTCTTCATAGGTATTATAGCTGCAAATGTCTTTGTATTCTGTTTATGGAGACTGCCTGGTATGCGACGGGTTATGTTTACGTATTTCACCTCAGATCCATCCTCCAGTAAGTGAACAGTTATCTGGGGAACTTCTATAAATTTGGATGACACAGAACCCCTGATTGTATAGCAAAAGCTTTGAATGGCACACAGCTTACTTGCAGCTCTGTCACCCACAAGCAATATCAGTCATGCCCAAATACATCATTTTGTCTAGGCAGAAAACACTTCTAGGGGGAAAAAAAGTTAGAAGTAATGGATTAAGAAAAAAAAAAAAAACCTTGCTGGTGCTTTTCTACATATTGTTAATGTCAAAACTGTTGCCTGCTGTCTGGCCTTACACTGCATTCAGCAGGATGCAGTTCTTGCCATTGTAAAGGGGAAGAGGCACTTCTCCCAGGGATATTACTGCTTTCCTGCAAAGAATACTAATCGTGCCAGTCTTCGGAAAGGCGGGGGAATAAATCATGCTATGTAATGCCATTCAAAAACTAGTCTCAAATGTGATTTTTTTTTTTTTCTTCCTTTAATGTTCCCTGGGATGCAGATAAAACAGTCATCAGCGTGCTTTCCTCTGAGAACATACAGAGCATTACTCTGTATGTTATGTACAGAGTCCTTGTTTCAAAGCTGTGCTTTGGGTCACATTGAAAAAAAAAACCCACAGAAACTTGGCTTTCACTCTGTGTGAAGTGTTTTGAAAAGGTTAACTTAGGAAAGCCAGTTACTAGTATTTAATGGCAGAACAGTTAGTTTTCATTTCTACAGTAGAGAAAAGAACTAAGAGACAAAGAACTGTAAGACAAAACATGCGTTAGGAGAGTACTTTCTGCTTTCCTCTTAATTTCTGCTGAGAAAGTGGAAACTCAACCAATTTCCCAATGCACACTCCAAAGCTAAAGGTAGCTATTATCCAGATGTGAGCATCAGTCACCCCAAACACTCCTATTTTAAATATTGTTGACCTTTAAAGCTGCTAATTGGCTTTTTTGCATTTTCAAGGCTGCTGTTTCAGTGAGGAGAGCTAGTAGCTTTTTGAAAAGAAAACTAGTTTTTCTTTGAGTCCATCTCTGCAGCAAAATAATTTTATATAGATGCTCATATAATATATTAAAAATGTTTCACCATATACATATATAAATAAAATCTTTTTTCCTTTCCAAAGCATAGGAGACATGTCTTAAGATAAATGTTTTATATGAAACATTCCCCAGTAGGTAATAAAGACTTTCTGAAGTAGCTGTTTGTATAGTTTGCGTATCTCTGGGGTATATGTCCTACCTTTCAGAAGGTATTGCTTGGAATTGGAAATTTGTTACATTTCAGGATTTATTACATAGCTTGTATTTGAGAATTCTAAGCATAATTAGCCTATAGTATGTTTTGTTAAGTTTCTAGTCTGCATGATATGTAAGTTGAAGCAAATTAAAATGCTGACTTTTTTTTTTGTTTTCCCATTGTTTTTCTCTTTTACAGAAGCCCTGTGTTCTCCCATGCTTCTCTCTACGTTTAGTCACTTCTCTCTATTCCACATGGCAGCAAATATGTATGTTTTATGGAGTTTTTCCAGCAGCATTGTCTCTCTTCTGGGCTGTGAGCAGTTCATTGCAGTGTATCTTTCTGCTGGTAATGTTAAATACATACATATATTTACAACACTTTAAAATGTATATTAATGCAAGTAAAGTGTGTGCATGGTTAATAGCTGTGTGATGACAGATGGCCATCGTTCAGTCCCACACATTGCTCTATACTAACTGCAGTGCTTATTTGCTGTCATACAGAATTTTGGTGGGTTTAGGATATTTGGCTTCAAAATATCATGACGATACAAGTATCTGGTTTTAAGTCATGCTTAGCTACCAAAATAAAGTAGCTCTTAATACAGACTCATGCGAAAAGATGACAGTTAATTCAAGTTAAAATGAACACATGCACACACACCCCCCCAAAAAAAATGCAAACCAAACAAAAAACCCCACTAAACAAAACAAAACCAAAACCCAAACAAACCAACCAACCACACCATCTACAGTAGCTTCTGTAGGAAGATGTTCCGATAACGTTGTAACTTTCTCATTCTTGTCTGCATTGCTGGCATTGTTTCCCATAATATTTTTTCCTTTCTAGGGGTTATCTCCACTTTTGTCAGTTACGTTGCTAAAATGGCCACTGGAAAGTTTGAACCATCCCTTGGAGCTGTAAGTGTCTCAGAATATGGGGGACCTTATCATGATCTCTGAAGCCATTTCCAAAGCCTGCTGTATTTTTTTACCTGCTTAAAAGCCAAGAATATGTTGGGGATAATGGAAACTAGGAAGGTTTACCAAACCCAAGTAACCAGGCAGTGATTCCTGTGCAAGAACTTGCCTGTTCTTCAAATATGTTAACTGTCTTGCAGCGGCAGCCCAGCAGTAATGCCACTTAATACTAATGGCCTGTAAACAATTACTGAACAGCAGGAGCTCTTGTCACCGAGCAGATAGTTCAGTTCTATAACTTGTTTCATAAATGTCATTTCCTAATTGCGTATCGGTCTTCTCTAATTGAAAATAGAATACTTTAGAAAGAGAGAATGTAATCAGACCATCAAAATCAGCGTGCGATACTAGCGGAAGCTGTAGGGCATGCTGTGCTGAAAGGGCAGCGCTCCTGCCAGAAGCCTCACACTATGAAAGGTCCGAGGCAGGTTGAGGAGGTGGTGTGGTTGTCTGTTCTTTACAAGAGTTTCTAGTAGCAGAAGATTTTAAAACGTTCAGCTTGCTACAAGTTTGAGGTGAACCTAGCCATTTGCCAAATTCTGAAAACGTCTTAGTTTATTTTATTAAATAATTTTGATAAAAGCCAAAAGTCAGATTCTTATTTTTCAATTGGAATGAAAACATCTGTTAAGCTGCCCTGAAGTTAGAATTTTCGGTAGCGCTGTCTATGTATCGTCCCTTTATCTTTTGAATAAACTGTATCTGGAGCAAGTTACTTTCCATTAGTCTTACTGATCTGAACTTACTGAAATTGCCACACATTGCATTAGTTTACTGTATTCACAGCCTTTCCATTGAGATATTTCATGGATACAAAAGCCCATGGTCAATTTAGTACAGACTGGGGAATTGCTTGTTTCACTGACAAAAGATTTCTTGTCCCTGTCTATCTTGTTATTTTCCTTGTTTTGGTGCAAGCTTCAGAATGATTCTCTTCATCTGCGATGTCTGTATTTGATTAATGTATTGTAAATTTATAGGGTTTACTGAGGAAAAAAAGCACATTAACATAAATTGTTACCTTAAAAATCAGGGAGGGGGGTGGGATGGTATTTCTTAATTATATAAGAGTATCTGAAGGGTATTTTTTTTGAGATATTGTAATTAAATAATGGTATCCTGCTTAATTTTTATTTTGAACTTAGCAGTGGTGCTTTGTAATTTGAGGTTTGCCACAAGGCTGTATTTGCAAATAAAAGCCAAAAGGAAAATGGGTTCACATGCAGAAAAATAAATTTCCCCTTCTGTAACATCTCAGCTTACTTCCATGTGTTTTAATGTATTTGCAGTCAGGAGCTATAATGACTGTCCTTGCAGCCGTATGTACAAAGATGCCAGAAGCAAAACTAGCCATCATATTTCTTCCAATGTTCACATTTACAGCGGGAAACGTAAGTACCTTAGAACTTCAAAGAAATCCTACTCTTAAAACATTTTCCCCATACCTTTCCAGTATCTGAGCGTGTGTCTTCTTCGTTTGTGCTTCTAAGCTGTTAAATTTATTTTGAAAGAGAATACAGGCCGTGGAAGTCCTAGAGACTGATTCTGAATTGTTGCAGCCTAGCACAAGTGTGTAGTGAATTTAGAATTATCCTAAATTCCATCCTCCATGAGTCTGTTTCAAATCTGATACTAATAGGTGAAAGAAGTTAGGAGGGACTCAGGTTCCCGTCTGAGGAGACATGCATAGACGCGCTGTTCTTTCTGATAGGTGATAGTTTTTATAGCAGCGCTCATTACATGCTAATCTTATACACTCTTTTTGAAGAAAAATTTATCAAGATGGGAAAAACAGAACTTAGCTTCTCAAGGGAGCTAATTTTCCAGCCCTGAAGGAATACCTGCCTTGCCATTTGTGTACCGTCTTTTGATACTTTTAAGAACACTGTTGGGATTAGAAATACACTACTGAGGCTTTTCTTCTTTTCTTCCTGTCTAGTACTAGGACTACTTTTCCGTTTCATTAAGTTCGTTTAAGCACATCCACTGCCCCATTTAAGAAAAGCAGCTCATGTCTATCTTGACTCGCTTTAATAAGTTAATCATCTTTGGTCCACTACTTAAAGTTATTTTACTGGTTTACTTAAAGCAGTTAAGCTTTGTCATTTCAAGATCATGAGATTTAATATTTTTTGTAAGCAAAGCTTACAAATTTGAACGAGCGCCTTAGAAGCAGCCTTCATGTTTTTCTTGCACTTCTGCTTGAGGGGACCTGTTTTCTTGCGTGCTACCCTTTCCCAAAAAAGATCGCCAAGGAAGAAATATTGGCAGAGCCAGAGAGAGCATTGCCATGAGGAAACACACATTGCAACAGTAAAACGAGCAATATTGGCTATTGCAGTGTGAGCATTGGAATAATTTTAACCCTAAGTAAGAACTTCTACTGTGTAGCTGTATTTGTAAACTGTGTGTACCGCTTTAGCCTACCTTACGTATACTGTAATCTCCTTTTAAAACAAGTCAGTGTAACAACATAGCTGCTATTCTAACACATGTGCTTAAGGAAAGAAATGTTACTTTAAGTAGGATTTCATCCTAATGTTAAATCTGTTGTTCTTTTTGGAATGAAGCATTTTGTAAAATTTTGCATAATTACAGTTTGTGTCACCTGAGGACGGTATACTTTTGCTCATGCTGTTTCCAGCCATGGAGTTGTTCACTATCATCCTGATTTTCTACCTTCCAACAGATGGGTCGTTTAAGAGAGCGTGATGATCAATTTATATCAGATACGATGACAGGGATGCTGCCCCACGCTTCATCCACTAGAGGATTGTGTTTGGGAGATCATATGCACATAAGTCTAAGCTATGTCAGAATTAGTGAAAGAGAATGTTACAGTTCCACAGTTTGTGGTCTCTTACAGCATGTACTCTTTCAAGTAACTTCTTTTTTCCTGACCTGAGTTTGGAATCTACGTGTAGCTTTAGAAATGAATATTGGAGAAGATTGAGTATTTGAAAAGGACACATTCCTACCCTGCATTATTCTGTAGCTGCCCATGGCTGTATTTTGGCAGCACAGTACAGCTAAGGACTGAGTGTGTTGGTTTAAAACATTTTTGTTTGTTTGTTTTTATTTTTTTTTATTTTACAGTGATGGCTTTGATATAAAATTTATGTGATATTTTTTGATCCCAAATTTTTGCTGTGTGCCAGAATATGAAACTTTGTTATCAGTGACCATTATATGCTGTGACTGATGCTGCCCGTTCCATGTTCTGTTCCTTTCCAGGCTTTAAAAGCCATAATTGCATTTGACACGGCAGGGCTTGCTCTAGGCTGGAGACTTTTTGACCACGCTGCACATCTTGGGGGAGCTCTCTTTGGAATGTAAGTCTATATTTACTGACTTCTGTTTGTTTCGTATTTAAATTCATCCCTTTTTTTTATTTTTTTTTTTTCCTCTTTACTTCGTCTTATCTCTGAAGCGTGGGGATTTTTTTGAAAGTTGTCTTAAGTAGCATTGAAGACAACTCGCTGTTATCCTTGTAGCGCTATAAAATTGTGTGGAAAATACTATTAACAAATTCTTAGAACTGAAAGAAGTTGAGTTGGACTGCCTTAGAACGATAGCTTAGCTGTCAGATTGTCCTGTCACCGTAACCTGGGCTGGCTGTCTCTGTCCTGCTCTCCCCAGCTCATTGAGGAGAGTCACAAGGCAGAAAAGATTCTCACAAAGCACAGCATGGACAAATTAAAATAACTTTAGAATTAACAGCTAAGAAAATTCCTTTGTCACAGTGTTTTTCCTCTAATTACCAATTTAGAGAGAGCTACAGAGTTAGTATAAGCTCAGGCCAAATTCCTTTGAGCAGCCTCTACTGCTCTTTCTCAGTGTTGCTGTGTTGTCTTTGTGTGGGGCCTTCCTAATTGGGAAGAACTACTAGAAACCAGCTTGTAGGAAACAGTTCTGCATTGTTCCATGTTTGAACTATGTTACCTAATGAGTGTTTCCCCTTCTACCTGATCGCCACGTTACCTTAATTTGCACACTTATTGCTGAGAGCTTTTTTAAACTTTTTATATAGGCATAGTAAAAGCCTACCTCACATTTAACAAGGCCAGACAAAGAACCAGGTGGAGGATGCTTTTATTTTGGTCTGCGAACTGGTTTGCCTTTGTTTGCTATTTTTTGGCTTTAGCATCAGTAAGTTCTGTGCTGCAGTCTCCTTCCCCCCCCTTCTTTGGCATCACAAATGCATTGCTGTAGTCTTGCTGATTCGTAACTACTGTCTACCATGATGCTTGTTCATTACAATACGGATTCACATATTATTAAAATAGGATAGCAGCTGCAGTAAAAATTGCCCTGACAAGTATCTTTCCTTCCTCACCTACGTATGTTCTACCTACACGTTCTACTCTGTGATCGTTTTGGTCACTTCATCCTAAAACAGGGCCTCTATTTATGACATATGTTGAGTGGCCAATGTATTTTCTACACATCGCCTCACAGACGGTTTTCCCCTTCAGAAGGCGGCTGTATGATTTAACAGAACAGCCAGTTTACCTGGCGCTGGCTGATGGCTCCTATAACAGTGGTTTTATTATTCAGGATTGAGATGCGAAGTTAGGCTTGTCGCAGAACCTTCAGCCTGTTTTCATGCAGTTGCTTCCCCTCTCACCTCTCGACCATAACCTCCCTTGCTTAATCGCTTATGTTGATGTTCATATATCAGCATATATAGTTCTCTATGAATATAAATTAAGCTAGAATACTTTGATAGATTAAAATCTTCATTTAGATGTTTATGGAAGAAGATTCACTTTGAATGGAATGTATCTGTCTATTATGGGGCAGTTGAATTTACATAACAGAAGAAGACTCTCACTTGGTGGTGTCAGTAAGGATTAGCATGAGCAACAGTACTGTTTTAACAGTCTCTTAAATGAAAATAGTGTTTTGCATCTTTTTAAGTAGAAATTGTGAGAGCGTGAAATTAAAGGCATGAAAACCGTACCCCAGGACCGAGATAAGCAAAAAACACAAAGAGGTTAACTATTAGGAGTCAAGAGAACAAGTGGCTTACCTGCCACTGCCACTTCCCAAGAATGATGCTCTTTCTGCCTCAGTTTATCTCATCTCCTACACTAAGCATTTGAGTTACTTGATTTTAGTGATCAGCCTGTTCCTCAGATACAGAGAGAAGCTGCAGTTAGTTTTAACTGGTATTTTCTTTTTCAGGTGGTACGTGACTTACGGCCACGAGCTCATATGGAAGAACAGAGAACCACTGGTGAAAGCTTGGCATGAAATGAGGACAAAGAACACAGGAAAAGGAGGAGGTGGAAAGTCTAACTGATTCTAATCCTAGAGATTCCTTGTGCCCAAGTGGTATATTACTTGAATTGGGATTGAATTGGTTTTGAAGGTGTTTTTGCTACTCCACATTAAGCCTCTGAGGAGCTGAAGTTTCTGATATAAACTACAGTTACACAAATGCGTATCAATAGAAAATGAACTCTGATAAAGGTGGAACAATAAAGGTTTTTATCTTATTGCTCTCTGAGGTAACAGTCTGCATTCGATTTTTTAAAGGAGGACTAAAAAAAAAAGCTTTCTAATGAAGCAACTGAAAGCTCTGCCCAAAAAACTTCAAAATGGGGTGCAACTGGCTAACACTTAGGAAGATAAACGTTTTTAAAACTGAAGAGGTTAACGGATCATGCATCCCCCTGTTGTCCACCAAACAGCACTAAGTGCTTTCCTAGAAGGCACGCTGTAGACCGATTGGACTCAGGATAAGGCTAATGTGGTGAAGTTCAGTGCTCTTTATTACTGAAAAGATAAGTCAGTGGTCTCTTTTTGATCTTAAGCTGGAAATACATAAAGTGATACTGGATTGTTTGCCAAAGCTTACATACCAGTTAATGGTCTGGCTTTATTTGTCAGCTGTGGCTTATTCAACCTGTTTTTAATTTCTGTCTGCTTCCAAGATGTTGTCACATCTTGTTAGAATTTACTACAATGATAGCTTTTTCTCTTTCAGAATTATGTACAGTAGAGGAATGACTTACACTGTGGGTTTGAATATTTTGCCATGAGTTATACTGCTTTCTATATTTTTTCACTGCACAAGGCTTTTTTTTTTTTTTAAGTTGTGCCGTATTGCTAGTTTCCTTTAAGGTTTTTCTAAGAATTTTAAAACAGCAACATTTGGTTCAGAAGGTGCCAATTGTAGAAAAATAAGCAGCTTCAATAAAAATACATGAGGTGCCCAAGATCAGCAACGCGGTGGCTGGAAGGAACTACTAAAGAAAACCTGAGAGCAGCACCACAACTGATATTCCTGTCTACAAATAAAAACAAAAACTGGGTTTTGGGTATGCTGCTACTCTGTGCCTTGCCTGCAAGGATGACTACCAAACCCCTTGCAGGGGGCTGAGGAGTCTGCCCAGGTCCGAGCTGGTGGGTTCAAACCCTTAACTCTTGCCCGTAGGCCGAATTAGTCGTTCTGCATGGGCTGACTTGCCAAAGAACACGTTGCATCTGTAAGAAGCAGCTTGCGCCTTTCTACTTTACAGCAGTGCTTTGCAGAACATGTATTTCCCAGAGGGATGAAGAATACATAATGCTAAACGGCACCAGCTGTAATAAGTGATGGAGTACAAAATTGCTGCAAACTCCCTTACTGCCACAGGCCAGCGCTCAAGTCTAAACTTTCTTCCTTGGAAAATAAGACACTCGAGGATTTGTTTCTTTAAGCGCCTGGCGATTTAAGCACTTAAAAAAAAATGAAAGAGTTGGGAGTATCTAATACTCCTTTGCTCTGCTGCAGAAGCTTTCTGGCTTTCTGTTTGTCATCTGTCACCTCTTTTCTTTTCCCGCTTCCTTCTCCAGTACCGGGGACACAAGCATGCCAGCTTTTAGGGCTTCAGCCACAGCGCTGCCCTGCCTGCAGCAGAGGGCGGGCAATGTGCAGCCCGGTGCCACCTCGCACGGAGGCAGGGGGAAGCCAGCAGCATCAGCAGATGGCCACTGAACAGGCTTATCATGAGGGGGTATTTCACGCCAAAGAAGCTCCAAAGCCATAGCTCACCATGTTTTGCATGGGGGGTTTGAACCTATTTAACACTTATCTGTTGTCTTTGTCCACTTCCTATTATTTTTTTTCCCCTTCTCTTCCTTGCATTACCTCTTGCCCACTCAACAACTTTTCTAGTTCTCTTCAACACCTCTGTATGCGCTGAGGGTTTGTTTTGGAGATCCTGGCTGAAAGCAGCAGGGGGCAACATTGCAGGAAATGCAGTGTGTAAACCCTAAAGAACATTATGTTTTCCAGGCCTAGAAGAATAAGCCGAGGTTACAATTAAGTTCATCACCGTAGTAGCCAGTTCCTACCTCAAAGTTTGAAAATCATGCCCCTGCATGACTCGCAGAGGCCGGAGTCCCGCTCTCGCGGTCCGTCAGACCTGCGAAGCAGCGTGGTGCTGGATGAGCACAGAGCCGTTCACAGCCGCCCCTCCAGAGGCGATGCCTGTGCTGCTGCTGGAGCCTCAGAGTTGCAGGGGCACAAAGCTCCTGAGAAAGCAGCCTCGAGCCGCCAGAGAGGTTTGGAAGTCACTGACTTTTCATTCAGTGGCTGCGGTTTGAGGGTCTTGTGCCTAAACTTCACCTTAACTTTAGGCCTTAACAGCTTTCACCCTTCTAAAGGCTGTTCAATACCTCAATCTTCCTCCTTTATAGAAAGCCTAAAGGTATTCAACATACGTAAGATTGTACAAAAACATTCATGGGGCCAAGCACGCGGCTTTCATGTCGTTCTGCACCTGAGCCTTCGTGCAGCAGTCTCTGCCAAAGGGAAACTCCTCTGTGGTCCAAAACGACTCAAACTGCAATGGGAAAGTCAATACTCGGAGCAGTCAGACAAGGAACGGCCTGGAGTTATGACAGCTACACCAGAGTAAACGAGACACCTTTCTGGCAAGCTTCTTGCAAAACCTGGCACAGTATATGCCAGTATCTCAGTATTTAGTCACAGCTTTGAATGGCAAAGAAATCAGAAGAAAAAAAAAACAAAACGCCAAGAAACAGCCAACCACCAAGAAAAACACACAAAAAAACCACACCAACAACTTGACCCCAGAAAAACCAACAACAAAAAGAACCAACCACCTAAACCAAAACTAACCACATGGAAAAACCTTCCCCCCCCGCCTTTTCAAAGAGCTTATTGTTGTGAATAAAAATACAATGTGGTAATTATGTGGACACTTGGCAGAGAGGCAGCTAGCGTTTGTGTAGGAAAACAGCACTAAGTGTAAAGTCGTGGTTAATTGTGTGGAGACACAATCCTCCATCCCTTTTCAATGGCTTTAAGAAAGTCTGCCGTGGCCTTGCCGTTCTTAACTGCACTGGAGCAAAATATTCCTTATCTATCTGCTCTATTGAAATTCCATTTTAGCATTAGAACACACAGTGTCTGTTTGTGCTTCCAGCCCCCATTCCTGGCAGCAGCGGCTGTTTTGCTGTCTGATGCGGTGGCTTGCCTTTGTCTTTCTGTGCAGCATCTCTCCCCCACTCCCCCCAAGACCCCCCCAGCTTTTAATCATGATAAGTCTATTCTAAATGCAGACAACTTTTTAATCTCATCCAGTCTGAGAAAGGCCTTGTGCCAATTTCATCCTACAAGCTATGATGAGCAGCTGCTCGAAGCTTTCCTGGTGCTGTAGGTGGGCTCCGAGACGCACAGTGCCAGAGCCGAACTCGGTGCTAGGAAGCGGCAGGCACAGGGAGAGCAGAGACATCCGATTTATTCTGCAACGTATTTTGCTAAGTCAGGCCTAGGAACAAGGATCAGAGCATCGTTTGTACTGTGCCAGTGATAGCAGAGGATAAAGCGGATGTTCTGTGTTCTCCCATGACAGTAAAATCCATTTTTCTTCACCGGGGTAAAGCGTTATGAGTTTCACCCAAATACAATTTATTTTTTACAAATTACTACATAGAGCAGAATGGCTCTAGAAAAAAGAAAAAAAAAAAAAAAGAAAAAGAGCAGCAGAGAAGTAAGAAATATCTCCCCGCATATTCCCAGAAGTAAAAATTCCGTTTGGGTGTTTTTCAGGCAGCAAATGAAACACAGCATCCAATATCCCATCCGTTACTGTGTCAAGACTTCTGTGCCAGACCAAGACATGGTTACCTGAAATTTCTGAGTCCCCTTGTCCTGGCTGACACACGGGGGGGTGCGTGTGTGAAACCAAAACTGCTGGTAGCACCAGCAAGCATCAAGTCTGTTATTTAGGACAACAGGACCATCTGCAAGGGAATTTCTGTCTATCCCTCCATAACAGTGTTTCAAAGAAAGGCCAAGCACTCGCAGAGTGGTTCTGCCCCAGTCCATATCCACATTTCTAGCCCTCCTCCCCACCAGAAGCAAGTGCAGGTCTGGACTGAGGTGCTAATGCACTAAAGATACTGCTTTAGTTCAGCTGAGCAGTCTGTAAATCTTCTGGAGTTCCACTGCATTATTAATTTCTTATTAGATCTTATCAGATAATCACCTGTAACTGGATGATTACATTCTAAAATTAAGTACCTGTCTAGTTAGCCTTTAAATAGATGATTTTTCTAATAGGTGGCATCTCAGTTTGTCTGCATTCTTCGCTTTCACAGCCTTATATTTCCTAGTTTGGCAACCTGTTGGGAGATTCAGCTTTGGTAATAACCATCTGAATGGGGAATTGTGGAAGAGCATTATGGCCTGTGGCCATTTATTACATAAGATGTCAAATTTCAAAAGCCAGACTTATCCCCGATGTAATTCTGTCAGCTTCAGTGGTTTGCACCAGGACTGTTTGATTTTGAATGTGAATGTATAAAAGATAAGCTGTAATTTCCAGTTTCTGGCAAATGCTAAATGCTGCAGACCGTAACGGTGTGGACCATATGTTAAGATATGTAATAGACGCTTGGATTTTGGTCAATAGGTAGTATTTTAAAAGTGCAGCAGTTAAACTGTAAATGTGAAGGAGGGGGGGGCGGGGGGTGTTAAGTGAAGGTTTGGGTTTGGCGGTGGTGGGTTTGTTTGTTGTTTTTCCTCTT